AAAAAAAAAAATCTCAGGGGCACCTGGTTGGCTCAGATGGTTAAGCGCCTGCCTTCGGCTCAGGTCATGATCTCAGGTTCCTGAGATCGAGCCCCGCGTCAGGCCCCCTGCTCAGCAGGAAGCCTGCTTCTCCCTCTCCCTCTACTGCTCCCCCTGCTTGTGCTCTCTCACTCTCTCTATCAAATAAATAAATAAAATCTTTAAAAAAATTTTTTTTTCTTAAAAGAAGGCTAAATCAATCAGGACTTGGTAATATACTAAATGTGAAGGACAAAAAAAAAAACAAAAAAAAACACCCAGAATGACCATCAGGTTTGTTTAAATGACTGAAAAGACAATGGTACCATCTACCAAGCCAAGGAACAATAAAACCCTAGGTTACAAAAAACTACAGTTGACCCCCGAACAATGCAGGCATTAGACATTCCAATCCTGTGCACATTTAAAAATCTGCATGTAACTTTTGACTCCCCCAAATCTTAAATACTAATAGCCCACTACTGACCAGAAGCTTTACCTAAAACATAAAAAGTCGATTAACACATATTTATATTACAGACTGTATTCTTAAATAGAGGTAAGAAAATGTTACAAAAATCATAAGGAAGTGAAGATACACTTACAGTACTATACTGTATTTACTTTAAAAATTCTGCATGTAAGTGGACAGGTGTACAAGCCCATATTTTAAGGGTCAACTATCCTACAAATTTAACACCAAATCTACCCAAGTTCTGGTTCTCTATTACTAACTTGAATACATTGCTAAGAATAAGTATTTCTCTTTGGGTCTTAAAATCTTCCTCTGTTGCCACTCTGACTTCCTGACTTGGGCTCCTGCTGGCCACTGTCTGAAGTCATGTCTGTGCTGACGCCCCTGCTGCTGAGAGGCCTGACAGGCCTAACCCGGCAGCTCCTGGTGCTGTGGGCCCAGATGGATTCCAAACCGCCACAGGAGCAGCTGGGGGTCACGGATGTCACCACTGGGCTCACCTCCTGCTTCCTGTGTTTCTTCTTGTCATCAGGCTGGGTCCTGTCACATCTGGAGACCTACAAGAAGCGGGAGTGAAAGGGGCTGTGCTGTCCCTCACCCTGTGATCTGACCACCCCTGGCCTGTCCTGATCATGTCTGTCTTCCTGGATCATGTCTTTCAATTACAGTGACCTCTTCTGCAATCATGACCTCTCCATTTCTCCTCTGTGACATCCTGGGACCAAATATATTGGCCCTGCTCAGTAAGGGCCCCCTTGTAACAATGTAGTCTAGTTAAACCTTGAAAAAAATATATCTTCATCTGTTAAATCAAGAGCTCTGAAAGTAAGAAGTCAGGATTTAGTTTGGAAAATGAGGAGTCAAGGATGATACTTAGATTTCTGGTTTGGGTAAGCAGATGGGGGTGCTGGTGCTATTTAACCAAAGGTATCAGTCAGGGTAGTCTAGGTTATCCTGCAGTAAAAATAACCGTAAATCTCAACCATTCACAACAGTGGTTGGCAAACTATGGCCCACAGACTGAATGCTTGTTTTTGTAAAGGAAGTTTTATTACAATACAGCCATATCCATTCATTTAGGAATTGTCTGTAGCTTTGATGGAGACCATAAAGAACAAAAGTCTAAAATATCTAGTATCTGACCCTTTAAGAAATACTGTGCTGATCCCTCAGTTACAGCAACAAGTTTATTTCTGGCCTACACTATATGTTGATGACAGGTTAGCAGTGGCTTTGTAACCTATCATTTTCACCCCAAAATGGGCAGCAATGACTTAAAAAAAAATTCTGCATACAAATCATCATCATAGCAAAGGGAATAGAGAACATGGAGAATACCTAGTGCTCTTAAAGCATCTGCTGGGGGGTTGGGGTGAAGAAGCTTCTGTTCAAAAGTGTAACTATTACTTTTCCTTGCATTTCATGGGAATAAAAACAAGTCACATGTCCATGCCTGAATTCACTAGCAAGGGGATATATACTCTTCCCAAAGGGAGGGAAACCAAATCTTGTTCAGTTGCCCCAAACAAATCTGCTCCCTCTGACCCAGTTTCCAGAGTTTATGACACTAAGGAAGGGTAGGTATTCTCTAACCTACTTTACAAATAGGTAAGATTATGTGACTGTGCTCTTCTTAAAAGAACAACAGAAGTGAAGTATGCAAATTCTGCCTCACTTCTTAAAAGAAAACTGCTTGGGGGCGCCTGGGTGGCTCACTTGTTAAGCATCTGCCTTCGGCTCAGGTCATGATCCCGGGGTCCTGGGATCGAGCCCCACATCGGGCTCCCTGCTCAGAGGGGAGTCTGCTTCTCCCTCTCCCACTTCCCCTGCCTGTGTTCCCTCTCTCGCTGTGTCTCTGTCAAATAAATAAATAAAATCTTTAAAAAAAAAAAAAGAAAATTGTTTGCCCTATACTTTCTTTCCCCTTCCTGCAGCTTGAAGCACATTCTACAACAAAGAAAAGTAAAATACCCTATGGTGGAACAATAAAATGTGAAGAATCTGGATCTCTGAATAATCTCATTAAACACAGTTGTTCCAGGGGTAGTAAAGTCAGATTGTTTAATAGAGACAAATAAATTTATTGCCTATTTAACCAATTATATTTTGGAGTCTCTTTCTTACAGCAGTTTAGTCTCTACCTCATGTTGATTCATTAGCATTTTTTTCAAAGCAGATGTTCAATATGTAGTTGAGTATATTCAGGCTTTGAACTAAGATTCAGGATGAAAATATAAGTCATTAACACATGGGGTTTTAAAGTCATGAGAATAGACAAGAATACCCAATGAGAATATATAAAATGATACTAGAGGAAGGTCTAGAATAGACCTCTATAGTATAAAAACTTTCAAGAGCTTAGACAGAAAGATCTGGGAAAGGAGACTAATTGGGGTAAAAAGGAAAATCAGGAAACTACTGTAGGAAAGCAGCTAAAAGATAAGAGTGTCATGAGGAAAGATCAGAGAAATTAAAAAGATGTGGAATAAAAAGTATCACCTTTTATGGATTTACTTCCCATCACTGCCCTCCACCCCCGCCTTGGTTATGAGCCAAATCCAGTAACTTTATGCTTTACTTTATGCTACTTTACTTTATGCTAACAAGGAGAATATGGCAAAAGTGATAGTACGTTGTGGCTATGATTTGGTTACAAAAAGATCATGACTTTTGTCTTTGGGCCCTCTCTCTCACCCACTGGCTCTGGTGCAATGTGGTAAGCAGCCCCATGGAGAAGCAATGCCCTATGTAACTGCCAATGCTCTGAGGTAGACTGTAGAGAAACCATGACAAGAAACTGAATACTGTCAATAGCCATGTTATTGAAATCAGAAGGGATCCTCCTCCAGTTCTGCCTTCACATGAGACTGCATGCCAGGCTAACAGCTTGACTGCAGCCTAATGAGAAACTCTGAGCCAGAGGTATCCCGGTAGGTCCCACTCAAATTCCTAACACACAAAAATTGCAAGAGAATAAATGTCTGATGTTCATGTTTTGTTTGCTTGTTTTAAAATTTTATTTATTTATTTATCAGAGAGAGAGAGAGAGAGCGCGCACAAATGCACACAAGCAGGAGGAGCAGCAGGCTTCCCACGGAGCAAGAAGCCCAATGCGGGACTCGATCCCAGGACCGTGTAATCATGACCTGAGCTGAAGGGAGATGCTTCACTGACTGAACCACCCAGGCGTCCCACATTTTTGTTTTTTAAAGATTTTTTATTTATTGATTTGACAGAGAGAGAGAGACAGAGCACAAGCAGGGGGAGCGGCAGGCAAGGGAGAAGCAGGCTCCCCACTGAGCAAGGAGTCCCATGTGGGGCTCAATCCCAGGACCCTGCAATCATGACCCGACTGACTTATTTCACTTAGCATTATAAGTTATACCTCCATCCATGTTGTTGCAAATGGCAAGATTTCATTCTTTTTTATGGCTAAATAATATTCCATTGTGTGCATGCGTGTGCGCACACACACACACACCACCTTTTTATCCATTTATCTATCAATGGACACTTGGGCTGCTTCTGTACCTTGACTTGTAAATAAAGCTGCTATAAACACAGGGGTGCACGTATCCCTTTTAATTAGTGTTTTTGGATTCTTTGGGTAAATACCCAGGAGAACGGTTGCTGGACCATACAGTTTTATTTTTAACTTTGTAAGGAACCTACATACTATTTTTGACAGTGGCTGTACAGTTTGCTTCCCACCAACAGTGCAAGAGGGTTCTTTTTTCTTCACATCCTCACCAATGCCTGTTGTTTCTTTTGTTGTTGATTTTAGCCATTCTGACAGGTGTGAGGTGTTATTTCATTGAAATTTTGGTTTGCATTTCCCTGAAAATAAGTGATGATTAACATCCTTTCAGAAAGTGTCTGTTGGTCATCTGTATTTCTTCTTTGGAGAAATGTCTGTTCATGTCTATTGCCCATTTTTAATTGGGTTATTTATTTTTGCATGTTCAGTTTTTATAAGTTCCTTATATATTTTGGATACTAACCCTTTATCAGAAATGTCATTTGCCCATTCCACAGGTTGTCTTTCAGTTTTATCCACTGTCCGTCGCTGTTTGGAAACTTTTATTTTATTAAGTCCCAACAGTTTATTTTTGCTTGCTTCCCTTGCCTCAGGAGACGTATCTAGAAAAAAAGCTGCTATGGCCCATGTCAAAGAGGTTACTATGGTTTCAGGTCTCACAGTTAGTCATTTAATCCATTTTTAATTTATTTTTGTGTCTGGTGTAAGAGAGTGATCCAATTTCTGTCCAGTTTTCCCAACACCATTTGTTGAAGAGACTGTCTTTTTCCCACTGGACATTCTTTCCTACTTTATCAAAGATTAATTGACAATACAGTTATGGGTTCATTTTTGGGTTTTCTATTCTGTTTCATTGATCTATGTGTCTATTTCAGTGCTAGTACCATACTGTTTTGATTACTACAGCTTTGTAACATAACTTGAAATCAGGAATTGAGATGCCTCCAGCTTTGCTTTTCTTTTCTTTTTCAAGATTGCTTTGGTTAGTCAGGATCTTTTGTGGTTTCATACACATTTCAGACCTGTTTATTCTAGTTCTGTGAAAAATGCTGTTGGCATTTTGGTATGGATTACATTCAAGGTGTAGATTGCTGTGGGTAGTTTATAGACATTTTAACAATATCTGTCCTTCTAATCCATGAGCATGGGATGTCTTTCCATTTCTTTCTGTCATCTTCAATTTCTTTCACCAGTGCTTTATAGTTTTCAGAGTAAAGGTCTTTTACCTCTTTGGTTAGGTTTATTATTCCTAGGTGTATTATTGTTTTTGGTGCAATTGTAAATGGGACTGGTTTTTAATTTCTCTTTCTACTGCTTCATTATTGGTGTACAGAATCACAGCAGATTTTTCTGTACATTGATTTTGTATCCTGAAAATGTATGGAATTCGTTTATCAGTTCTAGCAGTTTCTTGGTGTAGGTTTTCAGGTTTTCTAGGTATAGTATCATGTCACCTGCAAATAATGAAAATTTGACTTCTTCCTTAACCAATCTGGATGCCTTTTATTTCTTTTTGTTGTCTGAATGGTGTGGCTAGGACTTCCAGTACTATGTTGAATAAAAGTGGTGAGAGGGGAAATCCTTGCCTTGTTCCTGACCTTAGGGGAAAAGTTCTCAGTTCTTCCCCACTGAGGATGATGTTAGCTGTGAGTTTTTAATATATGGCCTTTATCATGCTGAGGTATGTTCCCTCTAAAATTCTGTTGAGGGTTTTTATAATGAATAGATACTGTATTTCTCAAATGCTTTTTCTGTCTATTGAAATGATAATATGGTTTTTATCCTTTCTCTTATTGATGTAATGTATCCTGTTGATTGATTTGCAAATACTGAACCACCCTTGCAACCCAGGAATAAATCCCACTAGATCATGGTGAATGGTTTTTTTAATGTATTGTTGAATTCGGTTTGCTAATATTTTATTGAGGATTTTTGCATCTATGTTCATCAGGGATATTGGCTGGTAGTTCTCTTTTGTAGTGGTGTCTTTATCTGGTTTTGGTATCAGGATAATGCTGGCCTCATAGAACGAATTTGGAAGTTTTCCTTCCTTTTCTATTTTTTGGAATAGTTTGAGAAGAACAGGTATTAACTCTTCCTGAAATGTTTGGTAGAATTCGCCTGTGAAGCCATCTGGTCCTGGACTTTTGTTTGTTGGGAGGTTTTGGATTACTAATTCCATTTCTTTTTTTTTCTTTCTTTTTTAATTATGTTAATCACCACACATTACATCATTAGTTTTTGATGTAGTGTTCCATGATTCATTGTTTGCGTATAACACCCAGTGCTCCATGCAGAACATGCCCTCTTTAATACCCATCACCAGGCTAACCCAGCCCCCCACCCCCCTCCTCCCTCCCCTCTAGAA